TTAAAATGTCCTCTTTTCACTTGAAAATGAGTATTTTATCTTCATCCTATCACTTATCTCTCTACATTCCTCTTTGTTGTGTTCTCAAATGTCATTGCTTTCCTGGAGCCTGTCCTTCCCTCTCTGGATGATTCCATACATACATCTATAACAATGAATTTATATTATTGGTTCTCACCTCTCTCTCGAGCTCAAAATTAGTCCTCCAGTGCCTCCATTCTGATAGTTCTCTTGAACCTGAAAATCAACATGCCCATTATAATACTCATTTTTTTTCATCCAAATCCTTTTTTACCCCTGAACACTACTTATACTTTGTTTTTGTCCCCTTACAATCTAATCTCTGCTCAAATCTATAGTAAATCTACAGTATTACTAGTCCTGACAAGAAATGCTTCTTGTTCTAACTTTTCAGGAGGTATCTTCATTTGAAGTCTTCTCAAACAAATATATTTAAGTTTGAGATTTTTACATATACATAGTTTCTGTTATAAAACTGTTACAAAACTCATTCCCATTCTTATTGTATTCCATTTCTATAAATGCTCCACCAATAAGAAGTGATCAGTGATATCACCAAGATGGTGACTCAGGTCATTCCAGGCTTTGCTCTGCCTTACAAGAACAACAACTAACAACTACTCATGAACAAGACACGTCCGAGAGAACCACTGAATATGGAGGTGAAGCACCCCCCACCACGCACACCACAGAGATGAAGAAAGACTGCGTCAGAAGGGTACGAGGAGTCACTACATGCTGACCACGTTGCCCTTCCCTGAGGCTGGCACAGCATCATGCTGAGAGATAGCCCCTGAGCCTGTGATCCCTCCAGGGTAAAAGATACCAGAGTAGACATCCAGCCCTGCCCCCAAACCCCCAGCACTGTGTGTCACTTCTTGGGACTCCCTGGGGCTCCACTTCACCACTAGGAACCTCACTGTGACTGAGATAAGGAGAGGGGCTTACAACAATCAGCAGTTGGATGTCAGCCAACTGACTTCCTACCTGCACTAACCAAGTAGAAATCCCCATCAACAGCTTTGCTCATCTACAGAACCAAGGCGGTGGCATAGTCTGACCAGAGAACTCAGCAGGGCTCCCCCGCTACTTGGGGTCCTCAAACAAAGAGATGAGCTGGTCCTGGAGCCTTGTCTGCCCCTACCCAGGCAGTTGAGCTAAATTATACCCTAGCCTCTCCTGAGTGACGTTTCTAGCCCTTCCCAGCCAGAAAGCCTGGAAAGAATACATGGAAGGTTGTGTAGCCTCGAAACACTTGAACAGGAGCCTGGCAGCAGAGATGATAGCCTGTGGAGCAAAGCCAGTGGCTCTGTTTGACCGAGTAACTTAGGGCATGGATTCGCTTAAGACCACAAAGAAACTTACTGGCATTGGAGCTAGTTCTGCCACTGTCTCTGGGCAGAGAAACTAATTGTAAACCTTTCTGTTGCTGAATACATCTTTCAGACTCCCCAGCCAGGGAACATAGCCAGAGAACATAACACAGGAGGCTTCACAGCCCATCCAATAGCCCTGCTTGCAGTGACACTTGAACAGTTTGTAGAGAAGAAGTTCTACAAAGAAATTAATACCATCAAAAAAACCAAAATCCTAGAGCCGAAAAGTATCATCATTCAATTGAAGAATTCGATAGAGAGCTTCAAATACAGACTTGACTATGAAGAATTAGTAAACTAGAAGAGAGGACATTAGAAATTATCAAGTCAGAGGAACATAAATAAAAATTTAGAAGAGTGAAGAAAACCTATGGGACATTTGGGACACAGTCAAAGAGAAATTGCATACATGTTAGCCCCCATGAGATGACCAATAGATTTTTCAACAGAATCATTCCAGGCTGGAAAGAATGGAATGCTATACTTAAAATAGTGGAAGATAAAAATTGTCAACCAAGAATTTCATACCAAGGAAAACTGTCCTTCAGAAACGAAGATGAGATAAATACTTTCCCAAACAAACAACAGCTGAGGGAATGGATCACCACTACACCTGCCTCACAAATACTTAAAATTATTTATTTTTGTTTATTTATTTTTAATGGAGATACTGGGGATAGAACCCAGGACCTGGTGCACACTAAGAATACACCCTACCCCTGAGCTGTACCCTCCCCCACAAGAAATGTTGAAAAGAGTTCTTTAGCTAGAAATAAAAGGATGCTAATTAACATAATAAAAACACAAGGAGGTGGCATAAAGTGAGGTGGTAATAGTAACTATATAGTCAAATTTGATTCTATAATATGGTAATGGTGATGTGTAATTCATTTACAACTCTTTTTTTCCTAATTTTAAAACTAATGTAAAATTTATCATAACTGCAGTAATCTGTTATTAGTAACAGAATATAAAATGTAAACTGTGACATCAGTAACTTAAAATGTGAGTGCAAAGAGAAGTAAAAGTGTAAAGTTTAGGAATGCTATTGAAATTAAGTCATTATCAGTTTAAAATGAGATGTTATAATTTTAAAGTATTTTATATAATCCTCATGGTAACCATAAGGGAAAAACCCTTAGTAAGTACACAAAGTAACATAATAAAGAAGTCAAAGCATACTGATACCAAAAGACATCAAAATACAAAAAAGACAGTAGGATGTGAAGAATGCATCTAAAAATTAGCAAGAAAATAAAACAGTAATAGTAAATTCACAGCTTTCAATAACTGCTTTAATGGAAATAGATTAAATTCTCCAGTCAAAAGCTATAGCATCTCTGAATGGATTAAAACAAAGAAATAAGATCCCACAATATGGGGCCTCCAAGAGAATCGCTTTAACCTCAAAGACACATATAAAGAACGAAGGGATGGGAAAAGATATTTCAAGCAAATTGGTATCCAAAAAAAAGCATGAGTAGCTATACTTGTATCAGACAAGTTAGATTTTAAGCTAAAAAAAATGGTAAGAAAAATAAGACAAAAAAGCTTATTATATATTGAGAAAAGGGGTTATTTCATTAAGATAAACCAATTGTAATATTTATGCCCCAACATCAGACACAGCAGTATAATAATAGTTGAGGATTTTAATATTCCCCTCTTAGTAATGGATAGATCATCCAGAGAGAGAATCAATAAGGAAAGAGCGTATTTGTAAAACACTTTGGGACAAAATGAACCTATCAGACGTATACAGCAGAATACACATTCTTCTCTAGTGCACATGGAACATTTTCTAGGATACACCATATGCTAGGCCACAAAGCAAGCCTTAGCAAATTCAAGAAGACTGAAATCTTACCAAGTATACACTCTGACCACAATGGTATGAAACTAGAAATAAACAACAGGGGGGTATTGGAAAAATGTATTAATACAGGGAAATTAAACAGTACTTTCCTCAACAACCAACTAAGCAAAGAAATTAAATCATGAAACAAAATGTTATCTCAAGACAAACTAAAATGGAAACACAACATACCAAAACTTACGGGATGCAGGAAAAACAATTATAAGAGGAGACTTCATAGCAATAAATTCTTAAATTAACAAGAAAGATCTCAAACAATCTAACTGTACACCTTAAAGAACTAGAGAAAGAAGAACAGACCAAGCCCCAAATGAGCAAGGACATAATAAAGAACAGAGCATAAATAAGTAAGAGAACAGGAAAGCACTATAAAAGATTAACAAAACTAAGAGTTGGTTCTTTGAAAAGATAATCAAAATTGAAAAATCTTAAGTAGATAAACCAAAGAAAAAAGAGAGGACCCAAATCAACAAAATTATACATGGAAAGGAGATGTTACAACTGACACTACAGAAGTACAAAGGAACTTAAGAGTCTACTATGAATAACTATATACCAACAAACTGAATGACCTAGAAGAAATGGAAAAATTACTGGAAACAAACAACCTAGTAAGATTGAATTAGGAAGAAACTTAAAAAAATCCAAACAGACTAGTCACTAGTATCAAAAATCTCCTAACAAAGAAAAGTGCAGGACCAGGTGGCTTCACAGGTGTATTCTGGCAAACATTTAGAGAATTAATGCCAATCATTCTCAATGTTTAAAAAAAACTTGAGGGAATGCTTCCATACTCATTTTGTGAGGTCAGTATTACCCTGGTATCAAAGGCAGAAAAGGACACTACCAGAAAAAACAGAAATAAATCCCAAAATTATAGGCCCTAGTATCCCTGATAAATATTATGAAAATAGTTGCAAACATTCTCAATAAAATACTAGCAAACTAAATTCAGCATCACATAAAAAACATTATTCACCATGACCATGACCAAGTGTGATTAAGCCCCAGGAATTCAGGATGGTTCAACATACACAAATCAGTCAATATGATAAATCACATTAACAGCATGCAAGCAAATTAGCTCAACACAAGAAGACACATTTGACAAAATTCAACATCCATTCATGATAAAACTCCTAACAAATCCGGTATAGAGGGAACATACTTCAACACAATAAAGACCATATATGACAAGTCCACAGCTTATACCATTTTCAGTGGTGTAAGATACAATGCTTTTCCTCTAAGACCAGGACCAAGACAAAGTTGCGCACACTCATTATTCCTATTCAACATAGTACTTGAAGTCTTAGAGCAATCAAAAGAAAGAAAATGCATCAAAATTGAAAAAAAAGAAAATGTCTGTATTTATAGATTATATTATTTTTATACATAGAAAATCCCAAAGATTCCTACCAAAACATTGTTATGTTTGATCAATGAATTCAGTAAAGCTGCTGGATACAAAATTACCATGCAAAAAATCAGTGGTGTTTCTATATACTGACAATGAATTATCTGAAAAACTAAAGGCACTGATTATATTTACAATAGCATCTAAAACAATAAAGTACTTTGCAGTAAATTTAAGTAAGGTGAAAGACCTCTTTACTAAATCTATAAGACACTGACAAGAGAAGGGGAAGAGGGAGGGGGACGTAATTCTGTGTTTGAGGACTGGAAGAATCCAGATTGTTGAAACATCCATTCTACCAAAAGCCATCTATAGATTCAATGCAATCCCTCCTACAATTTATATGGAACCATGAAAGACCTTGAATAGCTAAAGCAATCCTGAGAAAGAACAACAAAGGGGGGCGGCATCAGGCTTCCTGTTTTCAAGCAATATTATAAAGCTGTATTAATCAAAAGGTACAGTTCTGGCTTAAAAACAGACAAGTAGACCAATGGAACACAGTCAAGAGCCCAGAAGTAAAACCAAGTGTATGTACAGTCAACTAGTATTTGATAAGAGATTCAGGAATGCTCAGTGGAGAAATGACAGCCTCCTCAATAAATGGTGGGGGGAGATTTGGGTATTCACATGTAAAAGATAAAACTAGATCTCCATCTCACACTACTCAGAAACGTTAACTTAAAATGGATTAAAGACTTACGTGTAAGACGGAAAGCCATCAACTCCTAGGTGAATACATAGGAAAAAATTCTCCTTGTTACGGGTCTTGGCAAGGACTTTTCTGGATAAGGCACCTAAAACACAAGCAGCAAAAATCAAAAATAAGTGGGGATATGTCAAAACTAAAAAGCTTCCACACAGCAAAAGAAATTTCAACAAAATGAAATGACAACTAGAAAATGAGAAAAACTATTTGCAAACCCTGTATCTGATAATGGGTTTATATCCAAAATGTATAAACCTTACAACTCACTAGAAGAAAACATAAAATAATGCAATAAAACATGGGCCACAGACCCAAATGGACTTTTTTCCCCCAATATATACAAATGGCCAAAAGATCCATGGAAAGATTCTCAACATCACTATCATTAGGGAAATGCAAATCAAACCACACGGAGATACCACCTCACACCTGTTAGAATGGCTAGCATCGAATTGTGAGAGAGAAATGCTGGGGAGGGTGTAGAGAAAAATCCTCGTACAGTGTTAATGAGATTGTAATCTGGTGCATCCACAAAGGAAAACAGTATGGAAGTTCTTCAAAAAATTAAAAAAAGAACAACCATATAATCTGGCAATTCCACTCGTGGGAACGGATCCAAAGAAAATGAAAACACCATGTTGGAAAAGATACCTGCACCCTCATATTCATAGCAGCATTATTTACAATAACCAAAACATGGAAGCCATCTAGGTGTCCACTTGTCCACTGATGGGTGAGTGGAGAGAGATGTGGCATGTATGTGTGTGCACATACATACATGCAAGTAAATGTTATTCAACCATAAGAAAGGAGGAAATCTTGCCACTGGTGACAACATAGATGGAGCTTGATGGCATTATGCTAAGCAAAACAAGTCTGACAGAGAAGGACAACCACTGCATGATTTTACTTATATGGAGAATAAAAAATACTCGTCGAAAAAAAAGATTAAATTTGTGGTTACCATTGATAGAGAGTGGGGAGGGGGGAAAGGTGATCAAAATGTAAAAAAGTGAAAAAAAAAGTTTTTTCTTTTTTTTTTGTTATCTATGACATGATGAATGTTAACTACATTTATTGTGTAACCATTTTAAAGTATATGTAAGTCAAATCATTATGCTGTGCAACTTAAACTTATACAGTATTTAATATAACAAACATACAATCTATATGCCAGTTACATCTTGGTAAAATGAAAAAAGTAAGTCCCCACCATATTTATTACCCCTCTAGCTTAAAAATCTCTATTGTATGGCATAATATAAGTGCTCATTAAAAACAAGTTGAATAAACCAATGCATTTTTTACTCCTTTCTGTTCCTTGTACCCCCAATTTCCACATTCAGTTAATTTTCAGGGGCTTCAAATACCTTCACAACATCTTTTGAACTGGGGCTTCCTTTCTCCCAATATCCACCCCCGGATCCTCATTGTCTATATTGCAATAGCTTTCTACCTGATTTCACAGTCGTTAGGCTTTTGGCCTTTTAAATGCCACTGATGACTTAATATAATGGAAACATAACACTGGCTATGTCTTTCACTAGGCTCAAGTTTTCCTTTGATCACCATCCCTCTATATCCTGAACCTAATTCCCATTTCTATGTTTCTACTTTCATTAGTCTTTTTTTTCTAGTTCTTTTTACTTTACTTTTTTTTAACATTTTTTTGACTTATAATCAATTTACAATGTTGTGTCAAATTCCAGTGTTCAGCACAATTTTTCAGTTATACATGGA